GTGGCACAGTGGCAGCCAAGGAACTGTGGATCGATGGTGGATTTCTTGGATAGCTGGGTAAATGTTGTTCCTGTCTGGATACTGGATAACATTCTGGATCAGCTGATCTTCCCCAAGCTACAGAAGGAGGTAAGACGAGAGGGCTGCTTTAGAATGAAGCTGTGCTCTGAACCAGTATTTCAATTTCAGTCAACTAGAACTTTTAAAATACCGGTTTGCTGCCTCTGCCGATGCATTTAGGAGTTGGGGGGTTGCATTATGGCTCTTTTTGCATCTGCAAGACTTACGGCTAACAGATGGACTGATTTAAATCTTTTCTGTTTTACCTCAAGGTCGAAAGCTGGAATCCTTTGACAGACACAGTCCCAATCCATTCCTGGATCCATCCCTGGCTTCCCCTCATGCAGGCGCGATTAGAGCCGCTGTACTCTCCCATCCGAAACAAGTTGGCGAATGCACTGCAGAAGTGGCATCCCAGTGACTCCTCTGCCAAACTTATCCTTCAGCCTTGGAAAGATGTGTTCACACCTGGGTCATGGGAGGCTTTCATGGTCAAAAACATCGTGCCTAAACTAGGTGAGACACGCCAAACAGTGCTGAGTTTCTGGAATCTGCTGGTTGCCACCTTCCCCCTTACACCTAGGAAAGATACGCGTTAACGTGGTTGCCAGTGTTACTTCCAAAAATATTATTAGTAAGTTTAGACCAAGCTTGCATCATCTTTTCTGCTAATAGAACCATGTGGGGTTTTTTCAGAGGCAGACATTTTGGAAAATACGGGGAAGTGCTCTGATCATTCACAGTGTTTTCTGTCTTATTCTTCTAAATCATCTGATTCTTCTGTTGTTCAGCTGACAGGAATATCTGATAGCTGTCGGATAGCATCAGGCTATAAAACGGCGCTCTCTTACTCTTGTATTCTTTGGTCTACGCTAGTGCTTTCACCATGAGATTTTGTAATTCACCATTCAGCTATGCAAACTGGCTATAAAAAGATCTGTAGTCTAAAAATCAAACGTTTTAAATTTCTTAGTTCTAGCAGCAAGTTGTAGTCGCTGGAAATGGAAGTGCACTGTTCCGTGGCAGGGATCAGCCAAACAGTTTAAAGATCCTGAATGTCCTTTAGGGTAGTATGCAATACAGGTGCTCCTCAAAGTCGTGTGTGTTGATTATGAAATAGGTCAGGGCACTGATAAAACCAAGTCAAGTTCTTTTCTGACTCTTCTCCCTCTTTTTCCAGGGATGTGTTTGAATGAACTCATCATAAACCCTCACCAGCAGCACATGGATGCCTTCTACTGGGTGATTGACTGGGAGGGGATGATTTCTGTCTCCAGTCTTGTTGGGCTGCTGGAGAAACACTTCTTCCCAAAGTGGCTGCAGGTGAGAAACTGGCAAGGCTGCGTAAACAGGCTTGATTTCACTGTGAAGTGTTTTAGTGACTCCTACCTAGAAATTGCTGCCCCGGCGCTGAAATGGTTTACTTACCGAATGGGGTGATTGCCGCTCATAGCTCCATGCACATCAGAACAGGTTATTTCTTAAGACTGCTCAGTCCTTTATCTTACTGAAAGCTCAGCAATGAACTACGTGTTAACAAGGACTCTCTTCCATAAAGGTACCTGTCCTACTGCATTTCCTCTGTCATGTTGTTTTGCAGGTCCTGTGCTCTTGGCTTAGTAACAGCCCCAATTATGAAGAGATTACAAAGTGGTACTTGGGTTGGAAGTCTATGTTCTCAGACCAAGTGTTAGCACATCCATCCATCAAAGACAAATTTAATGAAGCTCTCGATATCATGAACCGGGCTGTCTCTTCCAGTGTTGGTAGGTGGCTTGTGATGGCTCTGCTTCCTGTGGTGGCGGTACAGCAACGCTTGGTTCTCGTGAGTCTGCCCTGAGGCATGGCCCTGCTCATCGGCATTGCAGCAGTTCCCCTGAGCAGTGAAATTCAAAGTGTGTTTTGCCTTGCTGTGTCCATAAATAACACCTGTAAGGTGCTAATTAATAATTGTCTGTGCTTCACTGAAGCAGAAACAGATTTTTGGTGACTGGCTGCCTGTGCCATTAAGCAACTGGTTCTCTTTCAGCCTTGCCTGATTATAGTGTGTGTTCTGTCAGTCGGTGGGTGTTGCGGTGTAACCCCAGCTGGCAGCCAGGACCGCACAGTCGCTCGCTCGCTTCCCCCTCTCTGCTGCCCAAAGGGCAGGTGACAAGAGGGGAAAAGGAAAAAAAACTTGTGGGTTGAGATAGAGACAATTTAATAGAATGATAATGGAAAGGGAAAATAATAACGGTAGAAGCGTATACAAGATAAAGATGCAGCACCAGTCACTCTCACCATCTGGGGCATTGGTTGCCCAGGCCGTCCCCAGCGGTGATCGTGGATTCCCACTCTCCCTGGCCAACCCCCATTTATATAGCATGACATCTACGGCACGGAATATTGCGTTGGGCAGCTTGTTCTGTCTATGCTGCCTCTCAGCTTCTATGGGAAGCTGAAAAAAGTCCTCGAACAATATAAACATCACCTGGCAACAATTAAACCAGTATGCATTATTGACATTCCTGTCATACCAAATCTGAAGCACAGCAGCCAGTAGAAAGAAAATGAACTCTATCCCAGCTGAAACCAGGACAGTGAGAGACCACAATTTAAAGATGTTGACTTCCGAACCTATAATTTGTTGGGGGTTTTATCTTTATGGTGAGATACTGGTTCTTCTTAGCTTTAGAGCCAGCGCCCTTCCACATGATTCTCCCTGTGACCTAAAAGAGATTGTTAGGGATTTGCTGGGAATTAAACTGTATAAAAGAGAAGGCCGTGCCTGAGGGAGGAGCACCTGAAATTTGCTCTGCCCTCCGAGACTGAGAACTCCTTCCGTGTATCCCTCTTGCCCACTTGCTGTACAGCGTGATGGAGAATCTGCATCAGAAACATGGAGGTTTCCTTGAGGCCCCGTTTAAATGTTTATTTCTGTGGTAAAATGATACAACTGCAGGCAAGTGTTGCACAAAGAGGAATTCACATTTTGAGAAATTTCTGGCACGATAGTCATGCAGCCAAAAAGCGAACTGGGGGCTAATAGTGAAAGTGCTCCTGATGCAATGCTGCTTCCTGCAGTGTGGTACTGTTCCATCCTTAGCCTGATTTTGCAATAGTCGCTCTTGTAACCCAGCAGTGGCCTGTGGTGACCAGAGGCCGCGTTTTGGCTTTGAGGAGTATTTTTTTGTTGCTGTTCTTACTTTTGTTCACACTTTTCCTTTGGCAGTAGCAGTGCAGCAGCATCCTCTCCCGCGCATGCTCAGATAAGGTTTGGGATTGTATCAAATCCTGTTGCTCCTGCTGCAGTTCTCCAAATCACCTCGCTAGTCTGCGTTGTATTAGCAATAATAATATAAAACTGAATGAATTAGAATGTGTAAAGGAGGATTCAGAGCGTTATTGATTGACTGTACTGTATGTGTCCTGGAGTGGAGTTTACCCATAGACCTTGCACTGGGAACGGACTGGCACCTTGTTTTCACGTGTTTCGTCTCTCCAAACAGGTGGGTACATGCAGCCAGGCGCTCGAGAGAACATCGCCTACCTTACTCACACTGAGCGGAGGAAAGACTTTCAGTACGAAGCCATGCAGGAGCGGCGGGAGGCTGAGAACATGGCCCAGCGCGGCATCGGCATGGCCGCCAGCTCCGTGCCAATGAACTTCAAGGACCTAATTCAGACAAAAGCAGAGGAGCACAACATTGTTTTCATGCCCGTGATTGGAAAGCGGCACGAAGGGAAACAGTTGTATACGTTTGGACGGATTGTCATTTACATTGACAGAGGTGTTGTGTTTGTACAAGGAGAAAAGACTTGGGTGCCGACCTCTCTCCAGAGCCTCATCGACATGGCGAAGTGAGGCCCCGCTTTGAACTGTGAAGGCCATCTCGCTGAAATTTTTAGTGTAACTGTCTTAGAATAAAGAAGTTACAGATTTGTAAAGAGAGTGAAACTGTAGCCATAGGCCAGGATTTTTTCTTAGAAGAGCTGTTCAGGCAGTGTCAGGAGGTTAAACTATATGTGGAAGCTGGTGCTAACAAGAAGTTCTGACATTTGTGTAATTGCCAACTGCGACAGGTTTTTCAGCAGGTTAGGAGGGACCACAGGAGGTGATTCTCTGCTCCAACGAATGAGTGAGGGCTGAAGACCTGAAGGTCTCCAGTGATAGAGATGTCACAGCTTCTCCTTTCCTGCTGCGCTGCTCTGGCAGTGACGGTTACTGTCCCGACAGCGTCCCCCACGCAGCGGGCTCCTCTCTCCCATGCACAGCCAGAACTCGTCCCATGTCTCTCCAGGGGTGCTGGTGGCTCTTCAGGCTGGTGCCTGCCCGTGGGCCATCAGCTGCTCCCGGCACCCTCTCTGCCCTGTCAACGCAGAGCTGGAAGGGGGGGATTTGTCCCAGCAGATTCACAGAACATGTGCTGTGGGACCGCAGCAGGTCAGGGCACGGAGGCGAGGGCGGGAAAGCGAGGCTTTTGTCCCCTAGAGGGAGGTGACCTCATTCTTCCCAGAACAGGTAAAGAGCTGATTTTGGTAGCACTGGACAGCTGAAGGCCCCCATGTGTGAGAAAGCTTTTCTAAGCCTGCATTTGGAACTAGACGCTGATCCCTTCAACTACACACCCCTCTCAACTAATTCCCCCTGCCTGATGCTTCAGAATGGGTGCAGTACGTGCAAAGGCTTTGAATTGTTCACGAAAGGGGGAGGGATCAAAAGAGCAATCGTGCAGTATGATTAAAAGGCTTAAAAGGCAGGTTTTAGTTACATTTGTTCGCTGTAGTTAAATGAGTATAAGTCAAAGCACAACTTTACCTTTTATTAAATAATTAAGATAGAAAAATGTCCCATCAGGCTCAGTGTTCCGGTGCTGCCACTTTTGGCAGAGCACTGTGACACTCAGTGCTGGAGCTTCATCTCAGCTGCACAGAAGCTGCGGTGGGAAGGGACGGAGCGGTCAGGACTCCGCAGCAGTGGGACCGCACTGGTCAGCTCTGTCCTTTCTGATGATCTCGCATTCCTCGTACGTCGGCTCCTCCATGAAGTCCCAGACCTCAGGGGAGAGGTCCTTCAGTTTTTGCAAGGGAAACCAGTGGACGGAGGTGTCGTTAAAGGTGTCCAGGTACCGAGGGTGGGTGGGGAGTGCCACTTCCTCTGTCCCTTTCAAGACCTAAAGAGCATTTGGGGAAAAAGTTACGTACGACACCAAAGAACTTTTCTGCTAAGTTCAGCTAAGAGTCGGTGAAGATGAGGATGGTATTATGTTAACCTCACTGTGTGCAGTGTGTTCTGCAGATAATGTAGAATGATCCTAAAGCAATTCATTTTTATATTGCAGTGGCCAGGAAAAAAACATTTTAAAAATAACCACCTTCTTTCCAACAGCAATTCATTTCCTTTCTCATTAAAAGGTGCTTTGTCAACACAAACCAAATAATGGTAAAAAACTAGCAGCTCATACCTTTGCTATGTAAGAATAATCTCTCTCCAGTATTCTCGACAATAATCTAGAATAACACAAGGTAACCAGCGTTAGACTCGACGCTCCTGTGAAACGAAGAAAACTTTTCTCAACGGGGGTGTGGGACAGATGGTTGATGACTGCAAATGTGACAGCAAGTTGAAAATGAACAACACGGACATCGTTGTCAGAAGCAGGGAAGGAAGGAGAGGAAAACGCTGCTGGAGGCACCAGAACCTTTCCCGGGGGGGGCTGCACCCACCTCTCCTCGATGCCTTTGAAGCTGTTCCCGATGATGACCATTTTGGACAGTGCCTCTGCGGACCAGTTCCTCCACAGGAGGTTGTTGTAGAGGGCTTTCCCGCAGTGCACCATGTAAAACAGCGTGGCCGATCCCTCAATGCCGTGTTTCCCCTCCTGCAGGTAAACCAACGGTTCCCGTTACAGCCCAGCCCCGGTGGCGGCGGAGGCCGGACGGGGTCTCC